GGGTTCAATCCTTAGCACCACATAAAAATAAATAAAATAAAGATATTGGGTCCAATGACAACTAAAAAAATATTTAAAAAATTGATGATCTTATTATTGAGTTAGATCTTCATCACTTTTTAAATTGAACAAATAAATAACATGAACTCCACCTAAAGCTCCTTGGTCAGTAAAGTACACCCACATCACAGTGCTATGTAAAGCACACTGTCGTGTGCAAAATAAGCAAAAAGAACATGGGGAAGAGATATCAGGGTGACTACTGCCCATGTACTTCAAAGCATTCATGACATAGATGTTTCTAGTGGTTCAGATTTGCATTTCATAAGTTAGAAAAACATGAAAACTCTAATTAGATTTTGTCAAATATTAAATAAAATATAATGAAATTATTTAATTAATTAAATGCCATTCCAACAGTTGAAGGTAATAAAACTTGTATTGTCAAACAGAACTAAGTTGCTATAACAAAATGTACTGATGCTTTCAAGCTATAGCTAATTTGACATTTTACCTCTACGTATATTTAATTATTGAAAATAAGTTGCAAAACACCTAAATTCCTACTTGATAAATTAGAGGTGAGAACTACCTTTTCTTCTTACAAAATTTGGTTCCTGGCACAATAGCAATGACTAGAATAAATGGTGCCAAATTTTTGGAGTCTTGTTTAATTCGGTATATAATTAAAATCTCATGTAGCTTTATTGGTTTTAGTATCCAGCAGAGAAAAAATATTGAAACTCCAAGAGATTTTGAATTAAATAGCTACAACAGTTTTGTTTTATTAGTTCTGACTGTGTGAAAAAAATCATAAGGACAACTTTGGAAAAATCTAGTTCTTTTAGAGCCCCAAATGACTTTTAAAACAATAAAACAAACTATAAAACCTACACAAGTGATATTAAAAATTATGTAGTTCAATAAATGTGACATTCACAAATGTGGTTGTAATTTTTTTAAACAACAGCAAAGCGAACATGGATCTGATGATTGGATTTAGAAAAGGTAGTGTTATATAGCTTAAAAGAATTAAGTGCTTCAATTTGTTGGTGAGGATTATGTAGCTGAGTTGGAATGTTATACCAATGACTTTAAGATCTCCATCCATTTCCCAGAGCCTATGGCTACATCAAAGAAAGTAATGGTCTTCCTTTATTAATGACTATTTACTAATTCTATATTATTGGTTATTTTCTTAGCATGTCTAATATTCATTTTTGAAAGTTTAGAGATTTAGACCTTTTTGGATGGTGGCTGCATCAAGCACAGAATAAACAAGTACTATAAATGCATACTTTTTTTTTTTTTTTTTTTTTTTGCGGTATAGGGATTGAACCCAGGGCGTCATGCAACCACTCTGCCACTGAGCTACATCCACAGCCCAACCCATACCAATTTTTATAGCGGGGTAGAGTCCCGGAGATTGAACTCAGGGGCACTCGACCACTGAGCCACATCCCCAACCCTATTTTGCATTTTATTTAGAGACAGGGTCTCACTGAGTTGCTTAGTACCTCACTTTTGCTGAGGCAGGCTTTGAACACCAGATCTTCCTGCCTCAGACTCCTTAGCCGCTGAGATTACAGGTGTGTGCCACCGTCCCTGGCCCAACACATACTATTTTTGAAGATGGAAAATGAAAGTTCAATAGTAATTTCTGTAAAGGCATTAAATGCATTAGAGGAATCATCCCAGTTATTTGCTAGATAGAAGGGGCAGGGAAAAGGAGAAAAACATAGGAGGGGAAACCTTCTGTGAGAAAAACAATTAGTTATCTGCTTAGTTTGCTGAGGTCTCACTCTTTGAAAACTCAAATATAACTTTAGAAGGCACATTTGAACATTAGATGGTACTGTCCTTTCTTAGTCCTCAGAGACTGTGCCTGTCCCTGGATCACCGAAGAAAATACCTAATTCTCCATCAGGCCACATGATAATGATGCTGGTGGAACTAACAAACATCAGAGTTGACCCACAGAGATTGAAGATTCTCCAATCCAGTCCCCTCACTGATGTTTTCCAGGGGCAAGGCACTACCTGAAATTATATACAGACTTAACAAATAATTCAAAAAATTTTTCCCTTTACAGAATGAGGTGGTACATTCATTTTTAAAGACAAAATCGTGCTTATTTTTTTCCCAGTTTTTATATTGAAAACAGGGAAGCTGAAACTATACTACAACAAACATCCATATTCTCTCATAGAATGCGACGCTACATCGTGTACAACCAGAGAAATGAAAAGTCGTGCTGCAATTGTGTATAYTGAATCAAAATGCATTCTGCTGTCAGGTATACCAATTAAAATAAATAAATTAATTAACTTAAAAATCCATATTCTCTTCACCTCAAGCCACCAAATAATAACTTTCTATATTTGGTTTACCTCCCTCTTCATGTATATATCTATGCATACTTACACAGATGGTATACATAGGCATATATACAATGTGTGCACATGTGTTGTATGTTAAAATATTTGAAAGTAAGTTGCAGATATTATGACCCATCACCACCAAAAACTTTAGTTTGCATCTTCCCAAGAATAAGAACATTTTTTCATATAACTCACACATCTAAGAGGATATTAATACTGTTGTCAAACATATAATTCATATTAAATTTCCCATGGGTTTTTAAAAAACCCAGAATCCAATGAATTGGGGTGATACTATGAGACCTTGTGGAAATCCTCATCTTTAACATTTTACCCATGAGTTGAGGTGTTCAATGATTTTTTTCTTAAATGAATTATTATGTTTTCCGATTTTAGCAAATTTTCTACATTTGTTAGAAGGAATTCTTGCAGTTTTCCCATCCACCATCCCTTTCTCTCACTTTAGGTATCACTATAGGGGCTGGAACAGAGGCTCAGTAGTGGTAGCGCACCTGCCTGGCATGTGTGAGGCACTGGGTTTGATTCTCAGCACCACATATAAATAAATAAAATAAAGGTCTATCAACAACTAAAAAATATACTTAAAAATGCATCACTATGGATTCATGAATTGTTATAATTAAAGTGTAAAAATCTGTAATGTATTTTTGAAGCTTAAATCTTCCCAAGTTCAGCCAGTGGGAGTCCCTTCAAGGCAGCCTGTTTTCTTTCCATGGTTTCTGACAAAGGGTATCCATGAACACTGCTTGTATCTTCCTAGACCTAGAATTAGTTACTTCAAGGACTTACTCCATGAAAGGGTCACAGATGCCGATGGCTCAATTCTCCAAATATTCAAGAGGTATATTCTCCCCCCGACCTCATCCCTCTCTTCATGGACAGCCAAAGGTATTAATTTTCTGTATTCTTCCATAGATAGTTTATGTAATAAAGCAAATACACAGATATATTCTTACTGGTCCCCAGTATTTTGACTAAATTATAACATATACATTTACTGGGTTTGTCTGTACTTGTAGCTCTTCATTGTCATTAGATTCCGAAAGATGCCTATGACCTATCCCAGAACGATTAGGAGGACCCTTTAGGTCAAATGTTTCAGATGAGAAAAGTCCAGGGTGGTAAATTTACCAAAGCTGAATGAGCTAACACTCACATGCTATTCTCTGGACTTGGATGTTGGTCCTCTGACTTTAGCTTGTTGTCACCTATTCATCTTTCAAACATAGCTTCTGTGGGGAAGCCTTTGTTTTTCTTAATGCTCTTCCCTCCTCCCTGCCCCCACAACTAGGTGATGTCCCTTGTTATAAGATTCCAGCACATATATATTAGTGTTAAATGTTTCCTGTCTCCGTGAATTCAGGGATTAGATCTGTCTTGTTCACTGCTGGCACACAACAACTGCTCAAAATGTACGAAGTGAAACTCGAATCCAGGATGTCCGGCTCCCAGTCAACTCTTCCTACTTCGGACCCACTGCAGTTGAAGAAATAATATTTCAAGGATGTAAATTAACCCCATACACAGAAAAAGACACACAGAAAAAGCTCGATAAGTCTTTCTATATACACGACTAATAGAGAACCTTAGCAGAAACAGCTCACCGAGAGGTGTGACCACCGCAGGAGGGCGTCAATCAAGAAAATTCCCCTTTGCCCCCGAGGCGAGTAGAGGCGCACTGGGCCGCGGCCACGCGGGCCAGCGCCACCTCTCCAATAGAAAACACGTGCAAAAAGCAGGAGCCAGGCTGCGAGTAGCTGCCACCGCCAGGGCTCAGGGACAGAGGACACGGGTCAGCTTTCTTGGATTGCATAGCCTCCTCCTGGAGCCTCAGGATCCCGGCCTTCTATTGAGTCCTGTCCAGAGCAGCTTCTGCCAGCATCCTAGGGAAGAGTCTGAGTCCGGGAGGGTCCCCAAATGAAACTAGCTGCAACAGCCTGAAGCCCGGAACACCTGAAGTCTAGTCGTTTGCACCACCTAAGGACTGCCGCTCTTTTACTTTGGGGCAGCGCTAGGAACTGCTGGCACAATCTAGCTCTGAGCTCGGGAGGCGCCTGAGGCAATAGCCAGTACCACCGTTATTCCAGGGAGCGCGCCGACCAAGGGAAGTTTCTCTCGGGCCCGTGAAGGGACGGCCCTGTTACCATCCTCCGCGCCCCTCGCCTAGGCCCATCTCCTGCCACCCTGAGGCAGGCCTGGACAGTGCTCCCGAGTTTCGTTAGAGATGCTTCCTGGCTGGGGCTACAGCTGCTTGGGTCCTGGCTCTTGACAGCTTCTTTCCTCGCACCTCTCCGACGCACTCACGCTGCCCGGCTTTCCTGGAGGGGGTCCCCGGCAAGGGTGTCGGAGATTCAGTGGCGTTGGCGGTGGCGGGTCACCTGGGCACAGGGTCCCAGAAGCCAGGGAACCGGCGAGTCCCGGGGGCGGGGAGCTCGGCCGGCGGGGGCGGGCCAGGGATGGGGGCGGGAGGCGGCTCTTAGGTCCCCGCGCCATTGGCCGCAGGGCCTGGCGGCAGGAAGGGGCCAGTGAGCGGGCCCCACCCCGTGGCCCGCGGAGCCTATCGCCGGGAGTTCGGAGCGCGGATAAATGTAGCGCCGAAGTGCGGGCGGGCAGCTCTCCGAGGGGCCGCAGCGCAGCGGAACCATGCAGTACCCTCACCCCGGGCCGCCGGCCGCGGCGGGCGCCGTGGGGGTGCCGCTGTACGCGCCCACACCGCTGCTGCAGCCTGCTCACCCGACGCCGTTCTACATCGAGGACATTCTGGGCCGTGGGCCCGCCGCTCCCACGCCCACCCCCACGCTGCCGTCCCCCAACTCCTCCTTCACCAGCCTCGTGTCCTCCTACCGGACCCCAGTGTACGAGCCCACGCCGATCCATCCTGCCTTCTCGCACCACCCCGCCGCTGCGCTGGCCGCCGCCTACGGCCCCGGTGGCTTCGGAGGTCCTCTATACCCCTTCCCGCGGACAGTGAACGACTACACGCACGCCTTGCTTCGCCACGACCCCCTGGGTAAGGCGGCCAGGTCACAGTGAGGCCAAGTCGGGGCGACGGCTGGGAAGGCGCCACCCGGCAGGTGGCAGCGCCCGGGAGTCGGCGGTGGCGGAGGGGAGAGGCAATAGAAAGTTGTGGCAAAAGCTATTGAAAAGCTGCTCTCGGGCGCGCGCAGGGACAGGAGGCGCGGGCACCGGCATCGCGCAGCCGGGGCTGACCGCACAGTGACTCAGATTGGTTTTCCTGCACCTTGCAGGCGTCGGGGCACTCGGGCCTGGCTGAGACTTCGGGCGCTGCCGCCGGGGCTAGCGGAGGAGGATAGCCCCGGGCCGCGCGTGTAGTCCGGGRTGGTGCCTCTTTAGGAAAGGGACGGGGAGGAGGGTGTTGAGGCGTCCTGGGCCGGCCTCTGCGGGACAGGGATAACTGCTGGGCCCCGGGTGGTTACGGGGCTGGACTTGGTTCAACAAGCTTGTGTAGTGAAAGAGCCTGACCCTTTCCGTTCATACAGGAAATCTTGAGTTCTCGATAGGAGTAAATCTGGTTTCAGAAGCTGTTAAGTGTTTTCCTGGCTGCACGAAGCAGACCCTTCCCCCGGAGTAGTGCACGCTGCTGATTATTTTATCGACATCCTCAATACAGACAAATTCAGGAAACACTCGACTTCTGATAGCCGGGATCCGTTTTTCTGATATTGTTCATTTCCTCTGTGTGGGATGTGACTTTATGGCAGCTAAAATAACCAGTTGCTTCCTATTTTTTTTTTCGAGGCTGTTTTGCACCAGTCTGAAGCCTGACGCAAGCAAAATCTCGAAAAAACAATGCCAGCTTTCAAAGCGTTTAGGCGCAGGCCTGCAGACACACCGACGGACGGACTGACAGACAAGTCTTTGGAGTAGGAAGATGCAGACCCGGGGCACCAGTTAGGAAGGGCAGTGTGGACACTCTAGGCACATAGAATTTGTGGGACTTGTCCCCTCAGTGCAGGGGGTGGGGTGCCTGAGAAATAAGTGACTGGGTTCCGGTGGCCCTTGGCGCCTCTGGGGTCTAAAGCCCTAGGGTAAATAAGGCGCCTTGCCTGGGGCCACCAAGGTTTTAAATCAACTGTTATTGGCAGATTCAGTAGGGACCCCAGAGACAATTAACATTTAAAAAAATATATATTTTAGTTGTAAGTGGATCTTTTATAACATTTATTTATTCATACGAGGTGCTGAGGATCCAACCCAGGGCCTTACCCATGCCAGGCAAGTGCTCTACCACTGAGCCACAACTCCAGCCCTGACAATTAACCTTTGAATGTCAGTGTTATTAAGCGCGATCTTTAGCTCAGTCCTCCACTTTTCCTTTTCACCGTCAGAATTTTGGGATATGTGTTTTACAGCCTTTTTTTTTTTAGGCTATTATATTTGTATTTTCAAAATTCCAGCCTCCAGGATTTGGTGCCATGGGCCCCGGTGTAGCTCTGCTCTTCTGCTAGGCCCAGAGGGAGACAGACCCTCAGAAGGGCCGGTCTGGGGGCGAACGTTTTAACAAAGCGCGCCCTGGGTTTCCTTGGGTTACTGTTGGGACCGCGCAGGAGGAAGCAAAGGGTTTTTTGAGATAGACCAACAGGAAACACATTGACGGAAATGTTGCCATAGCCCACGGCGTGGCTCTAACTGGCCGCCCCCGCGGGTCGGGTGTGAAATCAGAGGAGGCCACGGCCCCCTGGGGCCAGGATTGGAGGATCCACGTGTGGGTCGAACTCGGCGCGGGCCTGGGCCTGAGCCTGAGCTGTTCTCGCGCAGCATTACCTTGGATCGTGTCCCAACCCCGCTCCTCTCCAAAACGCACATATTCGGATAATTGGAAAGTGCGGTTCACTATGGGAGAGGACTTACGGGTATAAAAAAGTTGTGCATAAATTCAAGAGCGACAGGTGAAAGCGCGTCGTGGTGTTCTAAGCGCAGCTTGTACTGGGCATTCTTTTGGAGATTAAAACATTTGTGTTTGTATCCTAGACATAGGTGTTATGATTGCTATGTGTCATCTGTAGCTCTGTGTGTCTGTGTGTTGGGGGAGATTAGTGGGAGCGTGTTGGGCTCCCGTTACACGCGTCTTGTTGCGTGGTCTCCTGGCTTCTCATTCCTCACCTTGTCACCCCTTGGGCCAGGCAGATCTGGAGTTTGGTTAGGCCGCTCCGGAGCCTTCGCTAACTGCCGCTCTTCTTGCTCGCAGGCAAACCCTTGCTCTGGAGTCCCTTCTTACAGAGGCCTCTGCATAAAAGGAAAGGCGGCCAGGTGAGGTTCTCCAACGACCAGACCATCGAGCTGGAGAAGAAGTTCGAGACCCAGAAATACCTCTCCCCGCCCGAGCGGAAGCGTCTGGCCAAGATGCTGCAGCTCAGCGAGAGACAGGTAGGCTACTTGGGTCTCCTCCCGCGGCAGGCTGCTGGGGCTGGGGTCATCAAGGCTGAAGAGAGCAGTGGACAGGCTGAAGCCACTGTGCGCTCCGGCAAGGTCGGCAAGGTCCGATTCGGTTTCACCCCAGGAGGGCGGATCTGCACCCATCGCCCCTGTCCTCCCTGGGTCTCTCGGGATTCCGGGCTCTTTGCAAGTTTGGTGGTTTTTTTTTTTTTTTTTTTTTTTGTGGGTGTGTGTGTGTGTGTCCCCTCTTTATTTTGTGTCCCCCTCTTTATTTCTTTCTTCTCTTGTAGGTCAAAACCTGGTTTCAGAATCGACGAGCTAAATGGAGAAGACTAAAGCAGGTATCGACATGATTCCGTTTCTATGGAAATAAATATTTGTATCATGTTATCTCAATGCGAGGCCTGTTATGGGTTGTATGCAAAAGTCATTTGAGAGACTATTTAACCTCTTCACCTTGATTAAAAAGACAAATAGTCCTGCTGAAATTCAGGATGAGTTGCTCAGGTGGCAGTAATGCTAAAAGCACCTAATGCAGGTCCTATATCAATTATGCTTAGGTTTTCACACACTGGCTAGTAAAACTCCCAGCTAATTGTTTTATAAACCCCCATATGTTGTTTATCTAATTAACGCAGGAAAGATAAAGTAATTGACAGTAAATGACTTAAGCAGTTATCTTTGGGAGAAAATTGTTTCTTTTATTTACACAGCCATAATAAAACCAGGCAGAACTCAAGGGTAAATAGAAGGAAACAAACACTTTTAAGTCTTGTTTGCACTGTTTTTTAGAATAATTAAATATCAAAGAGTTTAAAATTATTTTTCTGCTAAGGCTAGCTCTTAAAATGAATATTAAACATACAAGAAAACATCCAAGTAAAGGCTAATTCAGTTTTTAAAGAAGCTCTATTGACTTAAAGCTGAAGGGTTTTTTTTTAATGTCCTATTCCTGATGTTTCAAAGTTGTCTGACAATTGATGAGTTGTTTATTTGCCAATGTATATATGCTTTTAAATAATAAATACAATACATTGAAACAATGTGAGTGGGAAAATTTAATGTGTATTTTAAAATTTATTAATTATTTCTTTTTTATTAAAACAAGATGATATCCCAAAGGCTATTCTGAAACAGAAAATAAAATTCCTGTAATTTCATTATTCTAACATGATTTAAAAGATTCACAGATTTCCTCTCAGTTGCTGACCTTGTTATGTAATTGCAAATTTGGTGAATATATTACTAAAAAAACTTAGTATATGTTTTCAAAACACTTAGTATATCATAATGTCCCTGTGTAATATTTATATCCATTTTAGACAAACTCAGAATTAAAAATTCACTGATATGTTTAGTTTTTATTCAAAGACTTGGCTATAGTGTACCTAGAGGCATTCTTCCTTTTCATTTCTAGGGATTGAAGCCAGAGGTGCTCTACTGCTGAGCCACATCCCCATCCCTTTTTATTTTTTATTTTGAGATAGGGTCTCACGAAGTTGCTTAGGACCTCACTAAACTGTTCAGGCTGGCTTTGAACTTGTGATCCTTACGCTGCTGGGATTACAGGTGCACACTGTCACACCTGACTTGCCAGGGACTTCTATTTTCGATGTAATATGGGAAGATTTTTTCAGACATTCGCCTCAGATTTTAAGCAAATTGTAGTTAATTGTTTCTCTTATTAGTTGGCAGCATTCTTCAAATTCTGCATTTTTTCTTTGCCATCCATGATTTATGTGTGTAGATGTTCATGAATTTACTCCAGAAAATGATTGAAAAGGAATTCAGTCTAATAGTTAATAATTTAATTTTTTCTTAATTCATCATTAATTACTTCACTCTGTGTGTGTGTGTGTGTGTGTGTGTGTGTTTGTGTGTATGTGTGTGTGTTATGGAACTCAGGGATTTACACATGATATACCCCTAGCTTTTAACATTCTTATTCTTAAAATGTCTAGAGAACTTCAAGTATTTAAATCCTTTTTTTCTTTTTGAGTTGGAGATGATACAATACCTGTATGTTATTTATTTTTATGCCGTGCTGAGGCTCAAACCTAGGGTTTCACAAGTGCTACCAAGAACTCTACCACAGAGTGCTAGCCCAAGTTTGAAGTATTTAAAAAATTAGGATAATATAGTGATCTAAGGTTTCCCCCTAAGCTTTTAAGACTCTTGAGAACATGGGTCAGGGCTGGTTTTAAGTGTTTCACTGCTATAATACCTTATATTTGTGACTGATAGTCTTATAAGACTATATCTTTCTCTGAAGTGACAAGCTTCTCCTTCAAATAAGGAATCCCAAGTATGTATTTTCTTTTTTTTAAAGAAATTTTTTAAGATGGCCACAATATCTTTATTTAAAATATTTTATTTATTTTTATGTGGTGCTGAGAATCTAACCCAGTGCCTCACATGCACGAGGCAAGTGCTCTACCGCTGAACTATAACACCAGCCCCCCAAGTATGTATTTTCTAAGTAAAAAGATTACAGCTGAAGTATTTTTAAAACATTTTAAAAAATATTTATTTATTTATGTATCTTTAGTTTTAGGTGGATACATTAGTGTGTTTTTATGTGGTGCTGAGGATCAAACCCGGTGCCTCATGCATGCTAGGTGAGCACTCTACCACTGCGCCACCACCCCAGCCCCTATAGCTGAAGACATTTGATAAATAAAATATTGAAAGGATGGTGCTGGATGAAAAGTCATTTTGATTTATGCCTCTTCATATTTCAAGATCATACCAATCTCCATTTTCATTCCCTTCATTTAGGAGAACCCTCAAAGCAATAAAAAGGATGAACTGGAAAGTTTGGACAATCCCTGTGAGCAGAGGCAAGACTTATCCAGTGAACAGAATAAAGGTGCTTCTTTGGATAGTTCTCATTGTTCACCCTCCCCTGCCTCCCAGGAAGACCTTGATTCAGAGATTTCTGAGGATTCTGATCAGGAAGTGGACATCGAGGGAGATAAAGGCTATTTTAACACTGGATGATGATCACTGGCATTAGCATGTTCAGAAAATTGGATGGGAAATAACATTTTGCTACAGAAAACACAGAAGAACTAGAAAGCAATATGAAAAAGGGAAATCAATTTTCTGGTGTTCTGGAAACCTAAAATATTTGGTGCACTGGCTAATTAACAAACCTACATTGAAACCTTAATTTTGACTTAACCAATGGCATATGTACTGATTTTAGGTTTTTGGATAAAGTGACTAAATTCACCCCCATTTTTTAAAAAAGTAAATTGATATTTTCTATTTATAAAAAATAATTTTGAACTTTTGTTAAATTTTTAAGTTATAACTTTAATGGTTTTAATAGTTTTTTTTTTCTTGAGAGACTTTTCATAATCTGTGTCTACATCCTACTTGAGAAAGCAAAGAAATACCCCAAATTCATAGGTACGCCTTGGAAAGGGGACCCATCTTTCTGGCAGCCTTGGAATACTATAAAGAGAGACATTCTTTACTTTTCTATGACATTCTTGCACTGCTGCCTTAAATCCAAAGCCATCTCTTGTCTTGGGATGTGTGTTCCTTTTGTTTCAAAAGCAAGAATTGATAAGACTAGACCTAAATGGTTGTTTTGCACTGTCATTTAGTATCCATTTGACCAAAGGGTTAAGGGGATATAGTACCGTCCTACAGGCAGAGAAACTGACTCGCTGGTGATTAATCACAGATAAACTAGAACTCGCAGGTTAAGTGTAAGTAGATTGTAGATATTGTGTTTTATATCAAACAATGTCTATAAAGTGTGTATATAGAATTGTCACTGTAAAAAAAATGACCAAAATGTTGTTTTGTTTTTTAATGAATTACTTGTTTATAAAATAAACCCGTCCATGGGACGACTGACCCTGTCGGACGTCTCCTTCTTTGGTTTAAAAACAAAACCAAACCCACACCTTCCCTTAAAGCGCCCCGGGTGCCGGAGCGGTGCTGGGCGCTGAGCTTGCTGGGGCTCCAGCTCCTAGCGCTCTGGGAGTGGGCCAGCGGGGGTCGCCTGGGACACGAGGTTGAGCCTTTCTTAAGGTGTTTGCTGGGGACCTGGGGACGTGTCAGTCTCGGGGGCAGGGGGCAGCTCCTATTCGTGGACCCGCGAGCTGCGGGTGGCGGGAGGAGCCCGGACCGAGGTGGCTCTCCGCAGAGCGCGGGACCGCCTGCGCCCCATCGATTAGCTTCCGCTGCCGGGCTGGCCCCGGCCGCTGTCCTTGACCGGTGTGAGTCAACACTGCGTCATCCCTGAGTGGCCCAGGCTCTGGAGCCGGCTCGGCGTGGCGAGGCCGGGGGTGGGGGATGGGGGACCCCCGGGGGGAGGAACAGCAGGTGGTCACACACTCCCTACAGTTTGGTAGGTGTAGGGTGGGAGCGGGAATTGCATACCTACAAATGTCCAGGTGATGATGCSGAAGCTACTGACCCAGAGCACACACTCTGAAAGCCACTGTTCTAGGGTGCTCCTACCATGAAGAAGCAGGTGAGACCAGTACTTCTCCACTCCCAGCCTCGCCTGCTTCCCTCAAAGCTACTCTAACCTGGGAGATGAGGGTCTGAGAGGGAGGGAACAGAGGGAAGTGGGTGGGAGTGAGACTTGATGGCTGAGTAGAGGAGGGTTCAGGGTTCTGGATGGGTTGTTGTGAGATGGGGGAGAATGATATTGCTGAGGTGAAGGTGGCTGTGGGTTGAGACTTCTGACAGTCCTGGTTGCTAGCCCTCATCCATCTACCTGCCTAGTTGAGCCACTGGGTCTCTGACATTCCGGGAAAACCTTGAGAGACCTCTAGAGGGAGAGCCCGAAACYTCTACCTCTAGCCTTGGCCTCTGTAGAGTCCTCTGTTTTTTGTGGTGAGGGCCTGTGACAGAATGACCCTATCCCTGACCTGGCTGACAGGGCTGTGGCTCTCCAGACAGCGACACTCAGGTGAAGACTGAAAAAGTCACTGCTCTTAGTGGTTGTCACATCCTGTGTTCTTAGATTCCAGGTAGGACCCTGGAATTGCAGGTGAACTAGATTTCTGAGAAAATGAACCCTGGTCCTTAAGTTGGAGAGGTGTGGATAGGCCTGGATGTTTGAAGAGGTTGAGTTGCAGTTTTAGTCTTTGGCCTGAGTTCTCTCATCTGTAAAACAAAGATGGCCTACTTGATTTACGTGACCTYTTCTTGCTTCCCAATCCCCAATTCAGTTTATGCTCTTTATTATTCCCCCTACTCAGTGTTGGAGCCGAAAGTAGCCAGCCAGTGGGAGAGTGTTCCTTCCCATGGGCTGCAGGCTCCAAGCTCCTGACTCTGCCTAACAGGTTACATCAAGGTTTCAAAGGTCACAATCAGTCTTGTCTGAAAAAGCAACTGTCTGTATCAGATTTTTGGAGAATAGGAGGCTTGTGGATCCGATATTGAGTTAAAGTAATGCTGTAATTTGTGTGTTTTGCTACCAGAGATAACCTCTAGTTAATGTTTATTCTTAGGAGTAACTGTATCATAACTATTAAGTAGAGAAATACCAGCTTATGTATTGATTGACACTAGAAAACTTGAGAATTCTTGTTTTAAAGTAGACACTTCCCTGAAACCAGGTTTAAAGCTAACCCCAGCTCCCTTCAAATTGCTCATCTGAATCTAAACATGTCCTTCAGAATCAAGAGCATGTTAAGTGGAGGAGGTTCAGTACTCCCAAGGACACAGGTTGGCTCTAACTCTTCTATAGTGCCCCACTGCAGACTGCCAATGAATATTTACAAATTCTTCCTACAATCCAGGCATTTTTCATTTGTTTGTCTTTTGGCTATTTCATGTTGAAGCGGCATGTATGACCTTTACAGCACAACTCCTGTCTTGTTTTCAACTCTTTTTATCAGGAGATTCAACTTGAAAACGGTTATCATTTAGCAGAAAGTCAAATAGAAAAGCACATTTTTGTAAGCAAAACGTTAATGATTGGAAGAATTGCCCTAATTTCATCATGACAGTGTGTGATTAATCCCCTGGGTCATGTACTCATACTTTCAGTTATTCAGTTTGTTGGTCTTTGATATTCAGAAAACTTTCTAACTTAATAGGATATTGATTTTGTTGGATGATGTACTTTGACTCTTTAAACAACATCACTTTTAGGGATGACTAGCCTGTTGTGTAGTATTTTATTTAGAGAACTATTGCATAAGTTTTCTTTTTCTTGCTCTTTATGGTTTTCTCGGGTGAAAGCTGATAAGACATCTTGTGGGAAAAGAGGAAACCATCTCTGATAGTGAAAGTACCTATTCTCTTTCAATATTTCTGACATGCTTTTTGTTTGTGGGCTTATTACTGTGAATATTCATCTTAGTGGGAACAGGACAGGGATTCAAGAAAACATGAATATTTGGACTTTTCGAGAAATGCATGTTGCTGGGGGCAGATCCAAGCTTCCCCTTCTAGTTATACTTCCTTGTGGAAGAGAACATGAACTCAACAGCTCACCCTTTTAATTTCTCTTTAAAATCTACTAATTAATAGTTCTTTAAATCTGTGATTGGAGGTCATATTCATGTGACTCTGGATAACATGGGACAGAATATAGAAAAGTAAATAATCACCCAGATGCTTGAAAATGGTTAGGAGTTTGGTATCTTGTGGTCAAAATAATAACATATTCTACTTACATTTTTACCTTTCATCCCTTTGGGTTTTATGAAATTCCAGATGCATTCTGAAAAGCATCTCATCTAATTTTGTCCTTTGATACTTTTTTGGTTCTGTTGTTAAGTTGCATTGAGAAGCACTTTGCAGAGTCCTCCTACTTACCCAAGTATCTGGGCTCCAAGATCTTAGAACACCAGCTACCCTTTCAATATGATTGTAGGAAATTCCTCTCCACAGATATTTTCCTGGATAAGAGCTGGGATGGAAGAAAAACAGATGGGGTCCCCTGCAAGCCCCTTGCTGGTGTGGGTGGGGCAGGTGTGGAGCACCCTTGGCAAACAATTCTCAGCTTCCAACCCTCAGTTCCTGGAGTTGTGGGCAGCACACCTGAGAGTAGGCATCAATACCTGGCACCCAGCAGGCGCCAAGTGTTAGCCCCAAAGCTAGAAAGCCGCAGTGATTCCCTTCTTTTGAGACAGCTCTTTGATTCACAGTTACAGGCGGGAAACCTCTTCAGAAGTCGGATGTACACAGATCTCTGCAGACAATGGAGAGGGAAGGAGACCTTGGAGCTGGCAAAGGCATTTCCTGTCTGTGGAGGATCTTGACTTTGGAGCATCCGGCAGGCGGTCGCCCATGAGGTTTTCGAGGCGAACGAACACTTTCCTGTGTAGCGGTTTAAAAAAGACCAAGATGATGAAAGAAAAAAAGAAAAGTCATTGCCAACTTCAGGCGATTTTCCACATGAAAGCCAGCGGGGCTGCTTCCCATTTAATTTTTGTCGTTGTTGTTGAATGCATATTTTCTAACCATTAATTAGAATACTTTTTAATTTGAAAGGGAGGTTGATATTATTGAAAAATCTTAAATATTAAAAAATCTCCAGTTGGGCATGGTGGTGCCCCACTGTAATGTCAAGTACTCAGGAGGCTGAGACAAGATCTTGAGTTGGAGGCCAGTCTCTGGAATTTAGCAGACCCATCCCCTGCCTCTCAAATCTCATTACTCTCTGAAGACACATCTCAGATGAACACAGAAAAGAGTTCAGGGTAAAGGGTTTCCTCCCCATATTCATAAATACCTGCAAGAAGAGAGATGCCTATTGAGTTTGTCTCACCTTGTTTTTATTTTTCCTTTGATAGTTGAATTATGCCATTCCATCTTTTCTCTCTATTTTTCTTTTTATTCATTTCCTTTCCCCTATATTCCACCTCCCTCTTATGATTCCTTTTCCTCATTCAGCTTATTTCCCCATGAAGAAAATGGGGGCTGGAGTTGTGGCTCAATCCTAGCATGTATGAGGCTCTGGGTTTGGTTCTCATCGCCACATTTAAATAAATGAATAAAATAAAGATCCATCAACATCTAAAAAAAATTTAAAAAAAATAGAAAATGGGGGCTGGGGTTGTGGCTCAGTGGTAGAGTGCTTGCCTCGAATGTGTGAA